GCATGTCAACTCGTATTCTCAGCATCACTCGCTCTATAACCAGAGCAGCATCTGCAGAAACCTGTATCTGCCTGTCTTCCTCTCTTTCTCCGTCTAGCTCTATTAGTCTATCACCCTCACCCTGTGTGTCTCGTCCTCTCACTCTCTAGCACTGTCTGCCACTAACTGTCTCTAACATTGTCTGTTCTTCTCTATCACATGGTCTATGCAGCAGGCTCTCGCAGATTTGGAGCTGTCTCTGCAGCAGTCTTGTCCTCTCTCACATCTGGAACTCTCTCTGCAGGAGTCTGCCATACAATTGGAGCAGTCTCTGCAGCGGTCTCTCATACCATAGCATCGATCCCTTCAGTGGTCTCTGGCACACATCTGGAGCTAGTTCTGCAGTGGTCTCTGCCACATCTTGACCTGTCTTCGCAGAGGTCTGTCTCATACGTCTGGAGTTATACGGTGCGTTAAAACTTCTGTTTGAGTGTAATGAGTGTATGTGGTATGTGTGTATGATGGACAGGTATTCTATGTTCACACATGTGCCTGTATGAGGGGCACTGCCAACACCTGTGCACACATGGAAATTCTGTGCATAACCATATATAATGATACATACACATATGTGAGTGTATTTCTGTATGGATTTGTAAGCAGACGTACTCTCATGACGTGATCGTACAGATTCACAGTATGCCCAATGTGCACTGCATTCATGCAGAGCTAATGGGTTTATACACACATGTGAATGTTCCCAATTACATCTGAAGACATTGAAGAAGCTCAGTTGGGTCCCAGCTGTCTGCATGATAATTCTGCACACAGTGCAACAGCATACACTAGAAGCAGTAGGAGGAGTTCTGGTTACTTGATGTGTTCCAGGAGGCGTTATAGACAGGAGTTCTATTTACCAGTTGTTGGAGTTATGTGGAAGGTTGAACAGAGAGGACATATGGGGTTGAATTGGCAATTGATGGCCACTGTTTGAATGATGGTCAGTTGGAGGAAATGTGAATAAGGAGGAGCTCTAGGAATCAGATAAGGATAAAAATAGAAGTTATATGGTGCACTTATTGTAGAAGGTTAAACGGGGTAAGGGAACACATTTATAGGGAGTAATTATGGAGCAATTAGAGAATTTATGTAGAGCAATATCGGATTTATAGGGAAAGGTTATGTGGAGCAATATAAGTAATGGAAGAGCCATGGAAAAACAGTTTTATGCATTGTAAAAGGAGATGCAGTGAGAAGAGATTTAACTGAACAATGGGATCAATTGCACCAAATGGTCTAATCAGGCATTACAAGGAGCACTTATGCCAGGCAATAGAAGCTTTATAGGGTGCTGAAATGGGATCCTATAAGGAGTTTTAGGGAGCAATAAGACAGGGAGGGAGAGGATCAATGACTCCATCAGAATGTCAAATGCAACATTCTGTCCATACTCCCTGGCAGACAATCCACCTGACATGTATATGTAATAGTTTAATTTGTGTTATGCGCAGATACTGTCTCACGAAGAAAATTGTAATTTATATGTGAAAGTTAATACATAGCATCCACCACACTAGAATAATCCACTAAACCCTACAGGGAGAAGAGACATGAATTTTACAACAGTTGGAATGAAGATAGCAGGAGGAACAGTAATGTGGAAAAGGACAGCTCCAGATGGCAGGACACTGGAAATATCTAAATGGAAATAAGTAGAGATAAAGTTAAAAAAATCCCTACATATTATAAATTTGTTATGCATAGCCCCAAGAAAAAAAAAAACACATATAAATCATAGAAAGATGAATTCTGTGACTTGTCTCCATTCTGGTCACCTATTTGAGCCCCTAAGGAGTTACTGCAGGATATTTGATGCCATCACTGAGATGTGTCACCAGATGGTCATGTGTGTCCCTTAGAGCCACAGAACTTCTGCAGTGGCAGAAATTGTGTCCAGGCAAGCTGCTGCCATCCTCTACACCCTCCCTATTCTTCTGCCCTTCCCTTGTTTCATGTCCATTCCTTCTTTATTTCTTCCTCATCATTTCCTCCTTTAGGCATATTTTCCTTTCTCTCTTACCCATTTTGTCAGTTTTGTTTTTCCTTCTCGTCTCTTTATATCTCCCTTTTTTTCTATCCCCCTCCCTCTCTGAGTCTCTCTCCCTATGATTTCTTATCCTCTTCTTATTGCAGTAAAGTGTTGAACATGACGGGCATACAAAGAGACAGAGGGAGAAAGGAGAAGCGAGGGGAGAAAGGGAAGGAGAAGTAGAGAGGAGAGACAGATGGTACAATTTGTACACAGCTAAAACCAAACCGGGGAAATAACTTCTAGACAAGGGGGGTGCGATGGGGAGAAGAAACTGAGAGGTAAACAGTAGGAATGCTTGAGTGAGAGAGCAGTAGTAAGATTTAAACCAAAATCCCCTATAGTCAAGAGGGGAAAGAGAGAGAGGTAAGAAAAAAAAAACAGTCAAACCCCTTTCACATAAAATATCAGGCCTGCAGGGAGAGGGGAAGAGCGCAGAGGAGATCTGGAGAGAGAAAAACAAAAGTGCAGACAACAGGAGCAGCACAGCTCTGAATATAATTCTTGCTTAGCTTTTTCTAATTGTATCCCTTTTACTTGCACTTCAGTGTATAGACAAAACTGGTGGCAGTGGACTTCCCATGTCCACTGCTTCTAATGTACTAATGACAGACACTCCCTGTTACGTCCCCGCTGACCTCAAAGATGCCCAGAGCTCACTGCTGCAGCTGTTGACTATACAGCCACATGATAATGGTCCTTTCAAAGTGCTGAAAGGATATGTGTCATTATTAGCATTACTATGCTAGACCTCTGAAGTGGTGGCAAAGAATGGCTGTGCAACACAGTTAACAAGGTTAACAAGCACTGGTAAAAAGGAACAACGTATATTGACACAGTCTGCCTTGTATAACCTACTGCAAAAAGTGCAATAATTGAGAGTAACCAATCAGACTTCACCGTTCCTCAGTCATGAAAGATAATTGCTAGTTACTTGACATGGGAACCTCACTAAGCTCATTGCTGTTTGTCTTAAAAAGTAAAGACAGCAAGAATATAGAAAAGCTGAACCTGATTTAATGCATACGCAATCAAATTGCAGTCAGTCATAGTTACTAACATTTTAGTAATTTGTAAGAAAACAGAAAAGATCCTTCAAATAAACAGTTTAGATTTTAAAAAATAAACATTTTCACTGACATGCTTTAAAAATGAAGGGGAGCTGAGTAGTCCTACATTGTAACCTTTTCTTCCTTTTTTTCTTATTTCTCTGCCAGTCTCACATCGCATGGACTGAGGTGAATCATAAATTTCTTCTCTTAACTACATGGAAGGTTTCCCCAAACAACAAAGAAGTTGCAGTTTGTTGTGACCTTTGTCCTCTGGACTTATTATTCTACTGCAAGGTTTGCATCTTCCCAATGCCTGCCCTTCACTTATGTCCTCTACTCTCTCTGCTACTTCTTGGCTGCTCCTCCACTGTGCCAGTTTTGGAGGAAATGTCTCCTGGTCTTAGTGTGGAGGCTGGGTCTCCATCATCTCCTCCTCAGGGGCCTGGCCCTCCTCCACGTTCCAAGCGTAGCTGGGTCTGGAACCAGTTCTTTGTAATTGAAGAATATGCAGGACCAGAGCCTGTGCTAATTGGGAGGGTAAGTATCTAATTAGTATTATTATTGTTATTGTTTTTATTGTTATTATATGTTTGCTAACTTGTGATTTTACAAAAGGTAGTTTTAGAGGATTATGCAGTAACTTTCCAACAGGACCAAATGTCTTTGTGTTTGTGCTAACCATTGCTGAAATATAACAGAGTTACTCAAAAATTACAGTCAATACTCAAGGGTTCTCAAGTTCAGCACTTGTGGCTATAGGCAGACCTGGTTTTTTGAAATACTCTTAATTAAACCCAAATGAGTTAGTCTGAAGCTCCGTGATTATGACAGCCACTAGGGCTTAAGCAGAGAAAGTTTTAAGTGTGGCCTCTGTGCAGCTGTCACTACAAAGTAGGGAATCAGAGCTGTATGATATTTTTAAGTAGCCTAAGCAAAATGTTGGAACAGTATACCCTGAGGGTGCCGATACACAGTGCCTTTGTTTATGCGTTTACAAACAACAAACCATGTGACCAGTAAAATATCTCTCTTTTCTATACACTAACCTGTTCTGATGTTCAAGCAACCTTAGGTCAAACATTTCCAGCAGGCATGTCCACCTTTGCAACAATCCATAGGTTAAAATATCGCTGCAAAAAATAAATCTACAATCAGGATTCTATGGCCAACTTTAATTCCATTGATGAAAAAATATGTATAAATACTAGGAAAAAAATTGTTTTTAAATTTCCCACAAGTACAAATTATGTCGGGCATTAATGGAAATTCAGGTTTGTCTAATTAGGCAAAATGCAGTAACCTATATCAATTAATCAGCAATTATCCTTCACTCTCATGAGTGCTTCAAACTGAGGAAAGGTGATTCTGGTGGCCTTGTACATAACATAATTAATGTTCTTTGAGCTGGATTTTTTAAAGAACCACTCAGCTGAAATATTAGCTTTGAGTAGATATGGGTTGTTTGTTGTTAAAAATTCCACCAGCTTGCTTTATTTCTTAAGGATCTTGGTGCTAAGGTCTTTGTAAAGTTCCCCTCAGCCGTAACTCCCTTAACAAGCGAATTTTACCCACTCTTTTGGATATTTTATTGAATTTACATGTGATAGTACAAAGGAGCAATAATAACATAACAAGGAAAATTGACCATAGTGTTTATTTAAGGGGTGAGCCAAAATTTAATAACAAACATTTAACCACATTAAATAAGAGACCTAGCCCTAAAGTCACAGACCATAAAACCAATTCCAGATAATCATATCACAATGTCCATCCAGACCAGGCTGCATGACTAACCTGTACTACACAACACTGTGACAAAACTTGAAATGTAGAAAAAGGAGAGTAGGTGGGAGCCGCAGTCCAGTCCTTACAGAGTCTAAAAGATCAGGAACAGTGGAGCAATATATAGGCAATGGCATGTAGGCACATGGCCCACCAAAAATATCCAATAGTTTAACTACTGGAAAAATGTGGTCTGAAAACTTCAATAGCAACCTGGAAATGACATGGGAAGAGGTGGAGCACAGCACCCTTTGCAGTGTCTTATGGGGTCCCCGTTGAACACTAGGGATCCAGTCATGGGAAAGTACAAAGGAGAAATAATTAAATAACTAGAAATAAAAAGACACAAACTCAAATAAGTTTATTTAATGGGTGCTTCAAAATTTCATAACAGACAATAAAAAAAAACCACATTAAATAATTGACCTAGCATTAACAGCACAGACTCAAACATAAAGCTAATTCCAGATAATCATACCATCATGTCAATCCAGACTAACTCCAACAGCTGAGGCCAATCAGGAACCAAGCGGCTGAAGCTCCCCAAACACAGTGGGTTGTTTAGCAATATTCAATAAGCCCATATTGAAAATGCCCAAACCTATGTCAGACAAATGGACTAGATCTGGTTTTTAAAGTCCAGGACCAAAACCCACTAGTACTAAATGGCGATATGATATCCCACCAAATGAAACCAAGGAACTGTAAATTGTGGTTCTATGAGGGCATTTTTTTTATTCTGCCTAAATAATACATAAAAATAGCCTGGGCACCATATCAAGTAAGGCAAGAACAGCATGTGTAAACAAAACTTTAAAGGAATACATATCTCTTATGTTGTAACATAAGGGGTACCAAGTCTTAACCTTGCCCAGGTCATAAGCCCCCACATAAAAGATCACAACATCTGTAGAAGGCCAAATTCTTGACAAATGAATCGGTTGGTCCCAAAGATTCTCCATCTCAAACCCTTTACTCCCTACCATAAAGTTTGGAATTGACTAACGTCCATACCTAAATTTTCTGTATAAGTACTGGTTGATGCTCTCCTTCTGGGCCAAAGAAAATAAAAGGAAGGCTACCTACCCAGATAATGCTTTTGGCTGAACCTAAAAAAACAAACTAAATTAATTAATAACAAGGTCAGGACAAACATCAATTATTTATCTGTTACTATCACAACACCCAACACTTCTAAGCCAGAAAGCAAATCAAAAGCCAGATAAGTTATGATTTTTGAGACAAGAAGAAGGTACAGCAGAAAATAAATCAGATCAGCATGGATAAAAAAAAGGAGCCTAAAGAAGAGGCCTTATAGAAAGATACTCCTAGACGGACAATTAATCCACCTACCTCTACCCACCTGATCTGCATTTTAACTATGAATAAATAATTTGAGTTTCAACTTTAAAAATATCAGAAAATAATCCTAAATGCACCAAAAAAGACAAGGACAAAGGTAGATTAAAAAGAGTTGTCACAACACAAATTAACTCTGAAAGAGAAATGTATTTGGATAGAAGGTTTGCTGAAATTAAACGCCTACTGTATCATCAACAACCGGATGAAACCGTTTAAAACTTCTAAGCACATGATGAGCTGGAAAAAAGGACGATAAGACCAGAAAATTTAAGAGAAATATAAGATGCCTGATGCAATTTTGTGAACTAATGATGAGCTCAAGTTTGACTTCAAGGAAAAAAGTAGAGCTGCATATGAATAAACATACTAATTTCAATAGTTACAGTCAAAGAAATGAACACCATTTTGACCAGGCTTGAAGATATTCTTCCCAGGACATAGGAGCTACTGATTTTTTTCAGATTAGCAGTGACTAATCCAAGATCATACCCCAGAGGAAGTCTGGGCATTGAAAGCCATTTGGATCCGCCCCTGGGGCAAGCTCTCTGAACTTCAAAAACTGCAAATAAATATTGAATCTACCTTTATCAAATATTACATTTCATGCAATGCAAAAAGAAAAATGAAGGAGCTTAGCAACTAATTCTGATTTAGACAATAAACAATTAATGGAGAAAAATACACCTTTGTTTGTATGAAAAATAATGAAAATAACGATTCTGGAAATAATTTCTCGAAATGACTACTGAAAGAATAGCAAAGAACTGTTCTAAAAACTACACTGGAACACTCCAAGAAGTATGCTATTTAGAAGCACACCTATGTCCTGCTTAACATTAACCAGAACCCTTAGAACCTGACGCACCTGTGAATAAACCAATGTCGAAGTCTTCACTTGAACTCCTGTTGCCATATAGTACACCCATAAAACCAACCAAAAATTCATCGCACACTTTTAAATCCTCTTAAATAGCATATGTAATGGAAATGTGGAAATAAGGGTACTTAAGGGTAGCAAGAACAAACCTGCAAGGATATATACTAGAAACAGAAATGACCCTAGCCCCAAGGGCATATTCCCAGAAGGGATGGAACATCTCTGAGAAGGACTTTATGTTTTGATAAAATCATATTGTAAAGTGCTGTGCAAACTGTTGGCGCTATATAAATCCTGTATAATAATAATAATAATCATAGATCCTATTGAACTTAGCTAAAGGCAGTCAAGATTCTAGATAGTATACATAGTGACGTCCAGGAATTTGATTGCAGGGGCTAGAAAGACAATCTTTTTATGGGGCAATGGAAAGCCAAATGACTCGCAGATGCTGAAAAAAACAGGATAATGCTTCAAACAAATTGAAGAATCGGCAGGACCGACAAACAAGAAATCATCCAAAGAATGAATAAAACCATCAGAAGCCAAAAACTTTTGATAAAACCCACTGTAGACAAAAGTCAAAAAGGTTTCAAAATAAAAACAAGATAAGGAAAAACCTATTGGTATTCTTTTATTATAATAGAATAAACATCAAAATGAAATCCTAGAAATTTAAAACCTTGATGGTGTACAGGTAAAAGATGAAAGGTTGATTTATCTATCTACCTTCTAGCTATCTATCTAGAAATCTAGCTATCTACCTTATCTAGCAAAGAAGATCTGCCATAGTGTGTCAATAAAGCCAGCGCCTCATCAAAGGATATATACAATGCTGAAGCCTCAATGTCCGATATCTCACCATTCAAAGATTTACCAGAGAGAAAAGAAAGATGGCCAATTAAGTAGAAAGAACCAGGTTCTTTTTTAGGGACTAGCCCAAGTCGGAATATTCTAAAATCTGGGGAAAAAGGGGAAGAGAAGGGCCCTGCTATTCTGCATTCTCTTAATTCTTGATCAGTGTTTTTCTTGAACAAAATCAGGGTGAGAAAAACAGGGTTTTTAACTGAAACGCAACCTTTATAACAGAGAAAGCAGGCACTCAAAAACCTTCTTTGAAGCCATTACTAAGGAACTCTGCCATCCTGCTGTCTGGATAGTGCTCTAGCCATGGCAACATGTTTGTCAGTCTTACTGGTGTCAAGGCCTTTGAAATTAGCATCCCTTGACTGAGGTTGAGTGGCAGCATCCAAAGCTTTTATGGAGCAGCGTAAGGCACATGGGCAGCAGTGCAGTATCAACATTTGAGTTTATATCTGCAGTTTGATAAATATGTAAATATGTGCTTCATTTTATGCAAAGCATGCTTCTTTATGAAAAGAATTCTGTATACTGCTAGGAATTTTCTGCTTTATCAAAGGTCTTTATGGCAACATTAGATTGAGCTAGAGACCCGCATCTTTAATGCTCCATTGCAAGGATGGGTGAACTGAAAGTTTATGCCTAAAATTCTCAT